GCTGTGGGTGCGCAGCAGCGAGCAACGCGTATATCCCTTCACCCCGGCCTAGAGGCCTGCCTGGAGGCCGGGAGGCGCCGAGGTGGCTGGCGCAGGCCGCCCCTCCTGAAATGGCGTTTTAGGGGAAAAAGAGGTGTCTTTAGAGAATAAACATGCCAGGCTCGCGTGGGGCAGCGTGCGCCGGGCAGGAGGAGCCTGGTTCATCAGGAGCAGGCCGAGGGGAGCAGCACGGTGAGCCCCGCTGTAAGCAAACCCTGTCCCAGCGGAGCTTACAACAGCCTGGTTTTAAAAACAGTCGCAACCTGCCCCAGAAGTCTGGCCCTGAGCTTAGCGATACTTATCTGTAGCAGGTTTATCTTACCATTCAACCTTACTCTTCTTTGCAGCAATAAAAACACATGCCTTCTTGCCTGGTTTCACCACAGAGCATAATGCAGAGATTATTCTTTCCTTCTCTACAGCAATCTTGCACTGAATTTGAGGACGCCTCCCCTGTCTACTTGGTTAAAACAATCCTGGCTTGTTTAATGCTGGATAGGAGCTGCCATGGAAAGCCTGCTCTCAAATCAGCAGAAGAAGCAGGTGATTGTTCACACATTCTTTATTATCAAAAAAGAACCAAACCAATATTAAATTAAATAAATTACAAACATTTTGAGCTGGTTATACATCATGCAGTTATCAGGTAAGGCTTCAGAGCCATTACACATCAATATCACTGTTACTTTAAGAGCAATAAAAGGACAATGGAAATTTAAAATTTTCTACCCAAGCATAAATTTGAGCTTCCCTAATTGTCTTGTCCAGGCACCTGGAAATAAAGACTTTTGAGTTGACCACACTGACCTTTTGAGAGACAAGTGCAAATCATGGCTATTTCCTTTGATTTATTTTACTTCATTTATTTTCCAGCTTGGTGAATGTGACCTTTGAAGACATGGGATTGTCAAGGTTAGTTCTAAAATTTCTGTTTCTCACTGGTACCTGTGCCTCCAGCAATACTATCTGTCCATTGATGTTACATTTATTGCCAGGCTTGGCCCTTGGCTACAGAAGTGAAGTGCCATTCTTCCTGGGTCATCAAAATTGCAGAGCATGCAGTTGGGGCTGCTACTTTCAAGCCGTCTCTCTTGGCATCCCATCCATTAAGCTTGCAGGAACTTCAAGAAATACAATCTAATTTTTATACATGGTCTGTCACTTTGAGGCTTCCTGCATTTGGTCTGTCAGGCCCTTGAGACTGTGCAATAAGTCTCCAATGATTCACCCTGAACGAAGAACTGGACATTGGAGTTTTCCTTGTTTAAAGTGATGCCACCTCAGAGATATAGAAATATTGATTAGCTGCTGTGAAATAATTGCTTATTCCGTTGCACCAATTTCTTTGTTGTTATTTTCAAACCAGCAAGTAAAAGAAGGGCTCAGGCAGTAGAACAAAAAGCCAGGAGTAATCAGCCCAAAGATAATATGATAGAGTTAATATCTTGATTTTAGTTTATGGAACAAAAGATAGTCCTGGAAAAATCACTGCAGTCTCACTAAGACCAACATCAAAAATAACCTTTAGTTACTGGGTTTAGTTTAGTTAGTTTAGTTTTCCTTTTGGAAACTAACTGCCATTGAATTAATTACTCTCTCCTGCACCACATAATCCAAAAGTGAGGTAGAGAACTGATGACTTAATCAATGAGCTGTTACACAGAATCAGACTGTCAGGGCTCTCATGTTATTACCTGGAATGGCTATTTGGCTATAATGGTCAATGAAGCTCCGTTTTCCTTAAAAATGAGACATCTGGGAGCTGTAGGGAAGCTCCACTTTCTCTCCTCAAAGACCCTTCCAGCAACGTGTTAATGAATCAGCTCGATAATGTTTATATACTTCAAAACTGTATATTAAAACTTGTTAATATTTGTGATATCTTAGATTATTAAAATAGAAATAACTTCTAAAAATATAATTTACTTTCATTCCTAAGGCCACTCTATTTTTTTCACTCATGGAAAGAAAACAAACTATCACGTTTTACTTCTGTTACTGTTCAGTTTTGTTTGCTCTTGCATTGTATGCCAGTGCTGGAAGTACTTCATAAGAGGATTTAAAATTCAAACAGAAAGAGTTGTTTTCATTGCAGTTGAAGACATACCAGTATGTGTCTTTGTCCAAACTTTTGTAATAACCTTATTCTCATAAAACCCATGTTTGAGGTTGAAATGCATTGAAGAAGGGTCCCATTAGCCCTTGGCTTATGCTTGCTTTTTTTCAGACTTTATATTTTCATCTTGTCATAACTGTCATAGCATTAGTACTGGGTAAAAATGAAGACTTCATAAGAGGATTTAAAATTCAAACAGAAAGAGTTGTTTTCATTGCAGTTGAAGACATACCAGTATGTGTCTTTGTCCAAACTTTTGTAATAACCTTATTCTCATAAAACCCATGTTTGAGGTTGAAATGCATTGAAGAAGGGTCCCATTAGCCCTTGGCTTATGCTTGCTTTTTTTCAGACTTTATATTTTCATCTTGTCATAACTGTCATAGCATTAGTACTGGGTAAAAATGAAGGCATTGGAAAAAAAAAAACCCTAAAATAGCAGCTGTTATTAGCATCACTCACATATAAAAGAATGTTAGATTTTTAGAAATGATCAAGATCTCATCTGTCTGTCTGTGGGTTAGTGAGTCAAGCTTCTTTGCCTGAGAGGTAGGTGATCCTGGTAGCATCAGTCTGTGGTGAATTTTAATGAAAGTCATCAAACCTGCAGTAGAAAATTGTTATGGAAAGATCACATTACTATAAAAGAGGTTTCTTTTGCTGAATAGATGACCATTTAAGAGACATTTATCAGAAGCCCTACGTAGCACAGGGTGTCACTCGGGCTGTTCCCTAGTTGCAGGCATAAAATATGCTCAAATTTCAATTTTATTGCTCTGTATCTATGACATCATGAAAATTGTGCAGAAGGTGCTCTCACTTGTGATCGAAATTATTTGGAAAAAATAGATCTCCCCGAAACACTCGTCCATGTTCTGAACTGAGTCTTTCAGTCATTCCAGTCAACAAAAAAATGGGAAGGAGGCCAGAGCACCTTTGGAATTACTGCTTTCATGACATGCACAGCCTAAGAGCCTTATCCAAAACCCAATCCAGTCAGCAGAAAGATCACTAAAATACTTCAGAAGGGTTTGAATTGGACCCCAATTCTGTAAGCAGGCCAGTCTGTGCATATAACACACAGCAACACGGGATTCTTAGGTCTGGTTACAAAATAGTCCTGTTACACACACGCACGCACAAAAAAGGTAATCCAGAAAGCAGCCCTACTGAGACAGTGTACCAAGATCTTCAGGGTGTCAAAAATACAGCACTGGTTTGAGGCAGTGGTTCTGGGACTATGGGTCACAGAGGGAGCAGTACCGGGGGATGATGGGGCCACAGAAAAGGTAGAGGCGGTGCAACACGGAAACATAGGGAAATTCAAGGATTTGCACTTACTGTGCAGACACCCTGAAAGTCAGTGCACTTTGTAAAACAACATTACCGTACAAAGCTGCGTCATTGCACCTTGCAAGAGCTGCTTTTGCTCATGAATCAAAGCCATGAAAAGCTCATAGTATTTCCTTATATTTCACTTCATCAGTAAAAGAGAAAAAAAAAAAAAGAAAGAAGTGGGATGCCCAAATTATGTAATGCCTGTGTGGGTAGAAGAGTGCAATTGTGTTCTAGAGTGAGACAAAGGAGGCCACTTGGTTGGCAATGATGACTAATCATTCCAGTCATTAAGGCACCTGCCATCAAATGAACTCGCTTCTCTTTTGTGATTAATGGAATAGCATTTCCTGAGTTCCTGCTTCCGTAGTTTTCTGTTACCTGCTCCAGAGTTCATTGCTCTGACTACCAGAAGCTGAGCAGGCAGGAGGGAAGAAGGTATCAGTTCGGGAGGTGTGATGGCCCCTTCCTTTGCAAACTGATTTTATCTCCAGAGAGAAGTGCAGTTCTTTGTGAAGGGGTGGGAGACAGGAGTCTGATCTGAAGGGTTTGCCCGTACTCTGACGCTCCCCACGTGCTCACAGAGCTGTCTGCGCCTCTGAGTGGAACATGCTTCCAAACATCTCCTGAAGGGCACAAAAGGCACGCTGGGTTAGGCTGATGCCATGGCAGGGCGAAAACCCAGCAGAGCAGCTCAGCAGTGATCCAATTGCAGAGAGAAACACCACCAGAAGCTCCAACCCTTCCCAGCCCTCCTCCATAAGGGCAAGCTGGCTGTGCAGGTAGATATTGCTCTATTTCTGGCTGTTCATTGATAGCATGGGGAAGATTGGCACTGGAAGGAGTCTCCATCCAGAGAGCCTGGGTTCAGTGGCTGCGGATCCCTTCGACATTTATGATGCCTGTGCTGAAAACTTGATTGGTGGACCCTGTTTTGGGCTTGAGCTAAACCCTGTTCTCCAAACTCACTCCAGTGTGCGTGATCTGACCATGAATCCGGGCTGTGTTGCCCAGAATGGGTTAAAGGATTCCCTTGTGAAGTTAGCCCAGCTGCTTATTCATTCAGGTTCCTGTCGGAGCTGCTCATGACAGGGATTTTAACTTAGTCCTGCAATTAATTTTTCAAAGAGTTACTGTTGCTAGCAGTTTGCCTGGCAGTGGCACAGGGAACACCCCATCTAATCAATCCCGACCAGGACTTCTGATTTCTCCCTTATGTCCACATCTGAATACGTGACCCCTGCCACTAGGACTAACCTCCTCCAGGTTCTTGAACTCTGCACTGCTTTCATCCACAGACTCGTCATAGATGGAAAGCTCAGTCTGATTTGGCCTCTGTGCAGGAAAGAATCAAATCCACAGGTTAGCGGAGGGCAGGACTGAAAGGAATGAAAGCGTGACTAGCCGAGGCTTAAAACCATCACACCTGCTCAGAGGGAAATGCCCAGCAAGAAGGGGCGCAGAAGGAATCCTGTTTCAGCTGCGTATCTCCGCTGACTGTGCTGGTGTTTGTATATCACACTGCAGAGATATAGGGTCCCTTAACTTACTCATGTGAGTTAACTGGCTGGTACTGCACTGGTTCAAGCTCCAATTATCATGCAGTAAACCGACCCATATCTGCAGAAATAACCTATCTGACCCTGTGTTGTCAGCATATGCTGCATTTCCTGCCTCAGCCTTTTCTCTTCCCTCCAGGGGAAACTTTCATGGATGCTGGGGCTGTTCAAGGGCAGGCGCAAATACTTTCTAAGGGCCAAGTTTTGCCCTTGGTTGCAGCTGCATGTTCCAGCCAAGATCAAACTGAGGGCCTAGTCCTGGCACAGCTCTTTTGGCTTCTATAGGCTGGGACAACGTTCATCTCCCAGTTAGGCATCTGGAGAACACATTTAAGCTTCTGAAATCGTTGAAATTAGCAGGTACTCGGCCTATACATGAGAACTAGGAAGTGAATTATTTCGTTGGATTTAGACTGTTACCGCTTGAGATAAACAGGAAACTTCATGAGGTGCAGTAGTGAGCTGTTTCTCTTCCTTTGTGCTGACCACATGAGAACCTGATACTACAGTACTGTGAATCGGAACAAGACCTGGGAGAAAATTTACCTCTTCTAAGATGGGAGGGTGGACAACTTCTTTGGTATTTGCCAGTGCAAACAAAACAGCATCATGGATAGTCAAGAAGATGTGACTTTGGTCCAGGCCCCCTTCCTCAAAGACTCCACCTGTGCTAATGTCGTTGTACACCTGGGCTGAAGAAAGGAAAGATACATGGACAACAAGAAAGAAACTAAAGAAGGAAGCCCTTGAAAGTCAGCATGGCTGATAGTGATCCTCTGAGCTAAAGCAAGGCTAGGCTGGGTAGGAAAGAAACAGGTTTGCTGCAGAAATATGAATGTAGGGATCTATTTTGCTAAATGCTAACTGTGGAGATGCTCCCGCCATATCACATCACAAATGAAAGAACCTATTTCACGCAGTAAGAACAGCCTTTCTCCTTCCTTTCTTCCATCTCATCTGCTCTGATTTGCTCCAGTGGAAGGCTGACAGCTATCACAGCTTGCATAAAGAAAACTAAAAGATCTCCCGTCTGCTGTGAGCACAGGAGTGGAGAAGATCATATGGAAATGTGCTCTTTGTGGATTCTTACCATGCACGTTTGCCAAGAACACTTTAATCCCAATCTTCTGATAACTGGAACACAACTATAAGGGATGAGAGGGAGAGAGAGGATTAATAACACTGCTGCTCCAGCTTTAGGTTTATGCATGAAGGCTTTTATCCAAGGCTTTGCACGTGCCCTGGGGATGCTAAAGGAGAAAGCCATACAAACCTCCTATTACTAAGTTGGCTATAACTTTGCTAACTTCTATTACTAGAAGCTTCTATTATTCTGTGCTATTCTAGTAATAATTATATTACCAACTTGGCTATAACTTGACTAACACTACTTGGCTCTGTTGGTAGGAGAGAACTGACCTTGCCCAGTGCTTTTGTGCCCATGAGATCCACAAAGCACACTCCGCTCATGTCAAGGATGATGGTGTGGAAGCTGACATAGGGCGGTGCTGTCGTCATAGGGTCAACATCTGCTGCAGGCATGATGCTGACGGTGCTTCCTGGCAGACTGGTGGTGCTGCCCAGCTCACTGGAGGTGTGCACCTGCCCAGCACCGTTAGCAGGAGGGCGGAATGTGATGTAAGAGATGCTGGCACCATTAGCAGTCGTCTGGTTGTTGTTGGTATCTGTTGGAGAGGTGCTTTCAAAATCTTTCTGGAGCTCTTGCAAAGACAAGGTCTATACCAAAGCAAAGATGCACAGTTAGGGCAGGATCGCTTCCGTTTGTGATCCAGTACTGTAAGGCATAATCTCTTCCTCTTTACACCCAAATATATGCAGGACCTCCCCAGACACTGAGCACAGCTATCAGCTCAAGCTGAGATCCTAACGTGTTAATACACCTAAGGTACTTCAGTAGCATCAGGTGTTCTAATCTGGACTAACTCTATCCTGGTCCTGTTGACTGAATGTCCCTTGGGGTTGGAGTGCATTAGTTAATTTGAAGTGATTCCTGTTCACTTGCTTCGAGACTGCTCAGCAATGTAAACCAAAGTGCATGAAGCTTGGGTGCCTGAGAGATGTGCTTCAAAAGGGCGCTGTTGAACTGAAACGCTGACACAGATGCATCCTTAAAGAAACAGGGCAAGCCCAGTTTCTAGCAAATTGTTCACTGTGCTTCCATTCCGACCTTCTCTGCAGCTTTTTTCCCAGCAATGTCTAATGTTCCTGCATCTTAAGCTTTTGTCTATTGGGAGGAATGGGGCTGTGGATAGGAAGGAAGGGAGGTAAGCGATGGATACCTGTGACCATGCAGACAGAGCAGAACATCCTATGTCCAGAGGAGTTATTTGGTGGGGATTTGAGGGGCTTATACAGCAACTTCAAGAACCCGAAGTGAGTTACCTTGTTCTGCCTCAGTAGGAATTTTGGTAGGTTTGTTGGTGGCTGTACAGTTCCCTTCTTCTGCCGTTTCACAAATTTCTTCCTGGCTAAGTACACTTTACTGGGATCCACCCCAGTCTGTGGAAGAGAGAGAGTTGACTTTGAAAAAGTCTATTAAGCCCCATGGTCCAGGAGTCTTTCCTGCTATTTCCCAGCCTAGGCATGTAGAGCGTGGTGGCACAGGGAGACAGGAGCAGCTGTACAACTGAATAAGGTGATCATGATGGCAACTGAACAGCAACATCTTTTGTAATGCAAGATACTTGCATTACAAGTATCGAGGAAGTATACTTGCATTACAAGTAGGAAGGAGAGACTTGCAGTAGCAGGATGACTGCTTTGGCAGAGCTTGGATGAAGATGCTTGCCAGGATTCAGGCATAACCTCTGATATGAGATCTACAAACTGTCCTGAGGATCAAAGAGAAAAGGACTGGAGGCTGGAAGACTAGAGGATGGATGTGACCATCTTTCATGATGATCCTAGGCTTAATTATCTCAAAGTAACAAGACAGGAGAGACCAAGTGCCATTTAGGTTTATGCTGCATACAGAAACTTGTTAGGGGGTTGCTCACCTTGGTTATAATCTTCTCCCGGAATATCTCTGAGTTGGCAAAGTACAGTGGGGAGCAGTAGGTTACAATTTTAATCCCGTTAAGTTCGTATACCTGCAACAGAAATGAGAGCTCAAACCAGGCCTAACAGGGCCTGTGTGCGGTGCAGGGTGGTTGGGAGTTCAGGCTGATTTTTCTCCTCCTTGCAGCAGCAGCAGCAGCAAGAGAACCTGAAAGTAGGGAATGAGCAGGTCTGGCGATGAAGCCTTGGGTGACTTTTAAGGGTGCTTAGCTTTGGGGTGCATGGGAGCCCTCCCCTTTGCTTTCCCATGCTGGAAGGTGGAGGGGATGCCAGCGTGATGGGACAGAGAGAAAAGCTGGACAGGTAGTAGATAACTGAGAAGGCCACGGTTGTGAAGAGCAGCTTTCCTGCCACTTCTGAAACTAGTGGCAAACAGCCTTGCTGAGACAGAAACACAGGCATGTATCTCTTGATCATGTTGGGTACCAGTGGCAAAGCAGCAGCATTTTTTCTGAGGAGGTTTTAGCTTCTGCTTACCTTGTTGTAGGCCTTAGGGTTCTTGTAGATGTCAGTGGAAGTTACTTGGCCCAGGGCAGAACCATTACGGCTCGGAGAAAAAAGACAACCAGAATTAGAGTAAATATTGCAGGAGAAGGAAACTGCTTCTGTTCATTCCCCATACCATTGTTTGAAAATTTGCTTTATGAAAATACTTAGCGAGATCTCAGCCGTGCAGAGTCTACTTGGATGTTGGCAAAACAGGACAGCTTTCTTTTTCAAGTGAAACTACTAGCATGGGGCTGCAGCAGTTCTTAGGGCAGCGCTTGGCCAGGTCCCACTGCCATATCTGGCTGTAATCCTCACTTCTTGCAGGGCCCCCCACCCCGGATACTGACTTAAGCTACTGAACAGACGACTGTCCTAACTCCACTGCAGGTCCCAGTCTGGGAAACATTAATAAAGGACTTTGGTGGATTACAAATGGTGTGTAAACTTCATGCCAATCTCTGCATATATATGAGGCTCGCTTCTTTTATGAGCAGGGTTTTCTGCTAGGAACTATGCAGGTAGCTCTGCCTGGTGAAGTAAATACCTTCTGACTTCCCTCTGTCTGGGGATGTGCACATCGCTAACCATGCACGGGAGTGGGAATGCAGGCAGTAAATTAACGCCTGCCATTCCTGTTTGCACATTCCAGGGGCCGGGGAGGACACCTGCACTCCCTCGGGCTCCTGCTGCACGTTCCTGCAAAACGGGGACCAAAGGTCAGTTATAAAAATAGCGTATCGTTTATTCTACAACTGGGAGATTTTTCTTCTCTTCTGTTTTTTGTAACTACACCAATACTTACAACTGGGTATGGAAAACCACTACCAGCACAGAAAATCCCACGCCCACAGCAACACCGTAGGGCAGGCTCAGGAAGAAAGCAGACAGGAAGCTCACCAGCCACACCAGCTGCAGAGAGACAAGAGCATGGAGGTCATTTCACTGTACCACGGGCAGGAGCACTGTGATGGATGGAAAATGGCCCTATCCTTATACACTGGACACTGGACACAGCTGATGATCAGAAGAATAAGGCCTGAATTTTGCAGCTATTATTATTATACAGTTTGTTGCATGTTTTCTTGTGAAACGTCATTGTTGGAAAGCTTGCCAGAAGCCCCAGTTTTTAAGCTTTAAAAGTAGCCAGTGCATTTCTTCTTAGTTGCATGAACACCTGCATCACTCATTCGTTTCAAAAAATATCTGCCTAACTAGTCAAGGAAAGGCTCCTGCAGATCAGGCCATCTGCTGCTGTATAACTGCTCCCACCCCCAAGAACGATCCTGCTGTCAGAGTACTTTCGCAGGAATGAGCATCTATCTGAAAACTGTCTGAACACCCACTACAAATCACCTAAACACAGAGCAGATTTGATGGCAGAGTATGACAGAGCATACCAAAACCTGCTCCACCTCTCAGCTCAGAACTCTGTCATTTGTCATTTTTATGTATTAGCATTCAAGCATCTCCCTCTGTATGAAATTAGTCCTGCCTGAGTATATAGCTATGCTCTCTGAGAATCATTATCAGAGGATTTTAATCCTATCCTCAAGACTGTTAAGGGACAGACTTTGACGTTGGTCAAGCCAGGGTAACTTTGAAGACTTCAGCATCTTTATGTCGGATTAGGAATGGTGCGTATAAATGAAGAGTAAGGGCTCCTCTCCATCTCGACTTTGCACTGGAGTACATCTGTGCAGTGATCCCTGCACTGAAACAGAGCCAGACCTGGGGTGAAGAATGCCAGTGGCCTGACATCATCCAGCAATGGCGTATCCCAGTTTTTGGGACAGGAAGTACACTGCATCTAGTTCAAATTCCAGGGAGATTAAAGTCAGGGGAATGCAGTTCACCCCACTGGCGCTTGCCTGGGTCCCACGCTCCCTGCGGCACAGTGTGGGTTGTTCACGGCTGCCAGTGATGAGAGCTTTGCTCCATTAGCTCAGGGGAAACGCAGCACGCGTTTCCAGTGCAGTGGGTCTGGCTGTGCCATGGTGGCTGGGTGATTCACATGGAGCAAAGTAAAGAGGTTTCTGACAGCAGAGAGGTACAGCCAGGGTGTTCCTTCTAACAGAGCTAGTCAGGTCCCTGGGCTGCACCATTCACCTCCACTCAGACCACTGTCCCCTCTGGTGTCTGCTTGCACGTTGGACTGGGGGCTGCAGAGCCCGCGGGGCTGGCCTGTTCTCCCTTCTGCCAGCTCTGATAAAGAGCAGTGGCTTCATGTGCCTCCACATGAATTGCCAGAGCTTATCTGGAGGGTCTCTCCATGGCTTTTCCCCACCAATGCAAACTTTCTAGCTCGCACCCCAGGCATCAGCAAAGCCCATTCAGAGATGTGTTTAAATTGCCCTAAGCAATTTCTGACAGAGGACTGAAACTAGCAATCCTGGGACAAAGCGTCTTTACATGAGCAGCTTTTCCCCTCTGCTGGATCTTGCCTGCATAACCATTTCAGGTCAGAGTTAAAGCATATTCCCAATCCAGTTTGCCTACTGGGCAAACTCCTAAGCATGGACCAATTTTTTGTAGCTCATGTCCTATGCTAGAGTGTTCTTACTTCATGTCATAATTATACCCCTGTGAAATCTCGGCTTGGACTTGTAACCCATCTCTTCTCCAGGACCTGTTTGAACAGTATTTTGGGAAAGCTCTTGATGACTCAGGTCAGCCCCTTCGGACTCCTGATTTCTCTGATAAGGCGGTTTGTTGGGACCTGACAGGATATTGGCTCAGTGTCCACACACACCACTCAGCCGTGGGAGTCCTGTTCAAACACTGTCTTTTTATGTCAGACATTTCCAAATTCCGTTCTCACTCCCCCACACCCCCTGCCTGGGTTTATACATCAACCAGTGCCTGGAGTCCTTATCACTGTGAAGGGCTCTCCTCACCCTGGAGGGCTATTGTGTGAGTTTTTAAGTCTTGACTCCTAGATATTGAGCAGGGCCGGTTAGGCTAGTTCTGGGCAAACAGGCTCCTACAGTTGATTGGCATTTAAACAGAGCAGGTAATAGTTCAGGCCTCTGTGATATGTGTGCTAAGCGTGACAGTGCTCAGCTAGGCAAGACAACTCTGCCGTTGCTCAGGACCTCATTAGCAGGGGGTTGGAAGCATGGCTGTGCTGAGAGAGTGAAGCCCACCTTCTGCAAGGGACTCATGCCACTCTTTCACCTGAAAGAAAGCCTGCTCGGAGGCTAACCTGCTGTCCATGCCTTCAGTCTCCCACAGCTGTGGGTTGAGTTTCCAGTGTACTGCAAGCGTATTCCTCCCACCATCCCCAGGCACTCACACAGTCCAACTTGCTCTTCTTCCACAGGTAGAAGGGATCAGCCAGCTGCTTGAGGGAGTTTTTCAGGTTCACTGCAATAAGTGCTCCCAGGACAGACTGCAGAGGAAAGGGGATCGTATTAGCTAAGATGTCTAGCACTGTGAACATTTTGCAAAAGAAGCTTTCCCATCAGGCGCTATCTCCCTTCCTTGGGTCCAGTTACCACAAGAGAATGGGAAAGGGTGATGCTCCCAAAGGTCATGCTTGGGTCTGAGCATAATAATTTAAAAGACTACTATTTCCTGTCCTGCTTCCAGAGAATCAGTGCAGAATCATGAACAAACCATGCTGTGCAGCAGTTTATGTCTGGGGCTTTCTGAAGCAAGGCTGTGCTTTCATTTGGGCATATAGAGTATGTGATGTAGGGGCCACACTGTTTCCATGCGTGTATGTGTTACCTTTGGAAGCGGTTCGAGGTAGATCCCCAGAGCCAGCATGGTCACCATAACCACCAGTGCCACAAAGAAACTTGCCACCTACAGAAAAGAAAGAAATCACTTCAGGCAGCGTCAGGGTCTTTCTAAACCCCCTCTTGGTCTTTGCTCTCCCGCTGTTTCAGCCAACAGCACAACTCGTCACTGCCGTATTTTTTGTGGGCAAACATTTGCCTCAGGGGAATGGGTTAAGCTTTTTCATATCTCAATGAGAACCCCAGGAACATCCCTCACATAGTAGCTCCTCTTGGTCATTGAGAGCCAGACTGGGAATGTAGAGTTATAGCCTTACATCTCTGACCCATCTAGAGAACCATCTAAGGAACGAAATGGAGGGGGAGAGTAAATTCTGCTTTTAATAGCAACCATGTGAATCACTCATATATGGAGCTTCTCCAGACACGTATCAGTGATGTCAGGCTGGCAGCATGCAGCAGCTACAAGTGTTTGTGTCCAAGCAGGATCACATAAGGAAGAGAGGAGGAGGAAGTACTAACTTGTGATTTCCCTCCTGCCCCGTCCACAGCGAGAGTGACGGAGAGAGCACAGCAGATCACATGGATTTTGAAGAAGGATCCAAAGAAGTTACTGCAGCCCAGGGCCAGCATTTCCTGTGGAGATCAGGGGAACGTGTTCATCAGAAAGAACAGCTCCCCCTCCCGTCCTCCCAACCCATCTGAGCTGCCAGTCAGGAGGGGAGGTACTCAGGTTCCACTGTGTGCATGGCAAAGGCTTTCCACGGCCTCTGACAGTCCTGGCTAGAGACCTCAGCTGCTCACCTAGGGCTACTCAGGCTCATCCCAGGGAGGGCACTTCAGCTCCCTGCCGTGTGCCCTAGAGCCATTTCCTTCCAGTGAGAGCTGGGATGGGTTTTGCTAGCAGGGAAGTCTGGAAGCACCATAGCTAATAAACACGTCGTCATCTGTTGACACACTCAGGGCAGGGCTTCATGTGGTATGCATGCCTGTTATTGAAGGCTACCACTGTGCCAGTGATGACAGAAGAGGATTATTTAATGTGTTGCCTCTCACAGTATGTAGGTGCCACACTAGGAATCCAGGTCTTTCTCTGCTCAATGGGGAATACGTGTGCCTCATTACGCTCTAACAACCTGCAAAAATATCTTCTAGGCCAGCTCTCAGGGCCAAAGACTTAGTTATGGAGGGAAAGCAAAGCAGAGAGCTGAATGTAAACCTTCCTTCCCTTTTATAGTGTCTCTCTCTAGCCCATGGGAAAAGAATCTGGCCTTATGCCCTTATGATTCCCACATGGCAAGCTGCCATGTGAGGCTGCATGCAAGCTAAAAGCACATGTATTTGAGGCAGAGTATATCTGAAAGCTTCACGTTCGTGCAGTGAGGTCTCCCTTTCACACCTGAGAGCAGGGGGAATGTTTCTTGACTGTGTCTTTCCAGAGCGAACGTTACCTGGTTGGGGTCCACATCATAGCCGTGCTTGGCTGCCAGAGTTCTCCCCATAGCTAAGTTGATCACGTAGCTCACGATGGCGAGTGAGAAAGCTGTGCCTATCATGTCCTTCCACTTGTTCACCAGAGGCAAGGTTGGGGCTGGGAAGCTGCACTCAGAGCAGAGAGGAAAAGGAGTTGTGACACCACTGTCTGGAGATGGGTTCAGTGGGTCAGAAGCCGATGTGTTCAGGAATGACATAACCCATGCCTAAATTGCAGACAGCCTCAGAGGATCATGGCAGTTGTTTAACAGTGCACAGCAGCACTGCCTGACAGTCCTGGAAGGGGGTGAGGGTTGCCAAGTCCAGCTAATACAGCAGGAAAGAGTGAGGTGCTTTTCAGGCTGCAGAACGAGGAGGAGGAAGGAAAATTCTTTGGAAATGGCATCAGACCTGCACATGCACTTACCCCATGCTGATCTTCCCAACTATCGGCATGTTGTACTTCTCAGGCATGTTAAAGCTGCCAGAGATCGCAGTTGCAACAATCACCTGAAAGTATAGAGGATAAAGAAGCTGTAAGCGGAAGGAGCGTGAGCTCTCTCAGAAGCACTAGGCTTGCTGTGCTGGGGCTGACAGAGAAAATTAGAACCCAATTTAGGCTGGGAAAGGAGAGACCCTCCCCAGCAGCAGCAATGTCCCTGGTCCTAGGCAACACTAGGATGCAAATACAATCTGACATGGAAGACCTGGGGATCAGAGGTCTCCTCCAGGAGGATGGCCCTCTTTCTGACCCCAAACCATGTGTGGTAACACTGTATTCACTGTGTAGATGCTGTACACAAATGGCTCTAATGACAGTAACTCTTTGAAGAGCCATCTGTGAGCACAAGTGTGTGTCCCAGGTCTGTATTAAGGACTGTAATGTGAGGGGAGGGAGTGTCTCCTGGAGGGTCTCAGGGACAGCTCATGTGTCACTTACGATAATGATCTCCATGGGGATGGGCATCCGAATCTTTTTCATGTACTTTAGGTTGAGCTCCTTAACAATGATCAGGAGCACAGCACTGACCAAGGCATAGACGAGGGAAGCCACGTTGGTCTTGGGAAGACCTTTACAAATATCAATGAATGTCTAGAGGGGAGAGAAAAGGAGAAGGTGACATGTGGAACCAGAGACCCCAGACAGCATCAACAGCACAATGGAGAACACCCATCACCCCAATCAACTGCAAACACCCTGACATGTGCAGGGGCTGTGTGGGGTGAGACAATTGCTAGAAACTCCACTGCTGAGAGATCAGCAGCCAGTCCCGGGTCTGTACTGTTCAGTTAAATGCAATTCTAGCTGCGCTGATGGAAGATGCATCAGTGGAAGGTGCAGGAAAGCCTAGGAATTGAATAACCTGCTCATAGAAAAAGTTTGACAATTGGGCAAGACTACTGCTGTAAGGTAGCACAGTTCATGTTCTCTCCAAATCCCAGAACCTCTTCATTACCTCCAATTAGAAACTACCAGACAAGGGCTCAGGTAAGACTGTATATGAGGTGCAACAGCAGTAGTGTACGTACGCTGAGTGGGAATGGTGCAGACAGCTGTATTCCCCCACCCTCCGCCCTTTCCTCCTGTCTGAGTTCCTCTTTCCCAAGCTGGGGTGGCAGTGATCTCTGCAGTATGCTGGTCACTGGGGGAGGAGGTACAGGGAAGGCCCCTGTCCAGAGCACCCACTTACATAGACGATAGCTAAGGGCCCGGTGTAAGACGGTACTGTCAAGCCGAAGACGTACTTGAGCACGGAGATGAGGATCTGCAACCCCGCTGCTGTCATGAAGCCCCTGATGAAAGACTCTGAGAGGTAGATAGCAACAAAGCCAAACTGCACGAATCCCAGGCACAGCTAGGGGAGAACAGACAAGGAGTTATTAGAAAGATGCCAGCCTGCGATGGCAAAGTACAGAGCTAGAACGTGCCAAGACCACAGCTGGGGCAGTATCCCCCCACACCCTCTATTCTAAGGCATCATCCACTTACAAATGGGGCCTCTTCCAGTATCTGCTACCATCATCTCTGCTCCAGGGAAAG